ATGGCATAGCTATCTGGGGTATCACTGCTCAAACAGGGCAAGCACCAAATGACCCGGCTTTCTTGTCTTTGCAGGGGAAAATAAAGTCTTTTAACATTTGGCCATAGTCCAAAGGCAGCAGGCGAGCAACCAGGCTTCTCCAATGCAATGTGGCGAGATTGGTCTCGTCACAAATGTCTTCCAGCAACAAACCTTGTTTGATCTGAATGGATTAAAGATGGAATAATATATTTTAATCTATCAGCTAAGACAGCAGAGCATAATTTAATATCAGCATTAATAAGTGATATAAGACAATAGTTTTCAATCAGGGTAGGATCTTTCTTATTTTTTAAAAATAGGTATTATATTTGCCTGTAATAGGTCTGCGCTAATTACACTATTCTCTGAAAAGGAGTTGAATAAATTTGCAAGATATTTACATAATTCTTCTTTCATAATTTTATTATTTTCCAGGGAAGCTATCAGGACCGGGAGCTTTATTTTTTTTTTTCTATTGCTAGGGCCACTTCTTCCGTTATCAGATGATTTAGTTCTTTAATTTGATCTTCCGTAAGAACAGATACATTACATTTATTTAGATATTCTTGGATCTCTTCGTCTCATTATTTTTTATATTATACACAGGGCCGTCTTTCACGCGGGGCAAACGGGGCAGCTGCCCCGGGCCCAGTTGCTCCTGGGGACCCAGAGCAGCTGCTCTGTGGGCCCTGCGATTTGCGCAGCCCCTGCGGTGCGGCTCCCGCACACTGAGGAGGCTCCCCGGGTGGCCCATGCACTAAGGGCCACCCGGGGAGCATGTGTCAGCAGGGGCCCGGTCGGGCGCTGTGGCGCTTAAACAGCGCGACCGGGCCCCTCTTCCGGTTCTGCAGCCGGCTGGGAGGAGTGACGTCACTTCCTCCCACCGGAGATAGCCGCGCGGGAGGAGGAAGGCAGGGAGGAGGGGCGTTCCAGAGGAGAACTCCCATCTGCCTCAGCCTGCCACTGGACCAGGGAAACCACCCTCCAGGAAAAGGTAAGAACCTGGAGGGTGGCTAAATGTATGTCAGTAGGTCTGTGTGTGTGTGTCAGTGTGTGTATGCCTGTGTGTGTGTGTGTCAGTATGTCTGTGTGTATGCCAGTATGTCTGTGTGTGTGTGTGTGTGTGTCAGTATGTCTGTGTGTATGCCAGTATGTCTGTGTGTATGCCAGTATGTCTGTGTGTGTGTCAGTATGTCTGTGTGTATGCCAGTATGTCTGTGTGTGTATGTGTGTGTGTCAGTATGTCTGTGTGTGTATGCCAGTATGTCTGTGTGTGTGTATGCCAGTATGTCTGTGTGTGTATGTCAGAGTGTGTGTGTCAGTATGTCTGTGTGTATGCCAGTATGTCTGTGTGTGTGTATGTAGGTATGTCTCTGTGTGTGTGTGTGTATGTGTGTGTCAGTATGTATGTGTGTGTCAGTATGTATCTGTGAATGTTTTAATGTCTGTCTGTGTGTATGTCAGTATGTCTGTGTGTGTGTGTCAGCATGTCTTTGTGTGTCAGTATGTCTGTCTGTGTGTGTATGGGTGTGTCTGTCAGTATGTCTGTCAGTGTATGTGTCTGTGTGTGTATGTATGTCTGTGTGTGTGTGTGTGTGTGTGTGTCAGTATGTCTGCCAGGATATATTTGTATGTCAGTGTATGTGTGTGTCAGTATATATCTGTGAATGTTTAATGTCTGTCTGTATCAGCCATTACGTTTGTCTGTGTATATGTCAGTATGCCTGTGTGTGTGTGTGTGTGTGTGTGTGTGTCAGTATGCCTGTGTGTGTGTGTCAATGTGTCTGTCAGTGTATGTGTCTGTGTGTTTTAGTATATCTGTCAGTGTATGTGTTTGTGTGTGTGTCAGTATATCTGTTAATGTATGTGTCTGTGTATGTATGTATGTCTGTGTATGTATGTCTTACGAATGGATGTAGAAGTTGTTCTAAAAATTTACTTGAAGATAATCTAATTAAAAAGGAGGAATATCAATTTATGATTCCTAACAACAATCCCATGGTCGCAACGTTTTATTGTCTCCCAAAGGTTCACAAATGCTTAACAGACCCTCCAGGGAGACCCATAGTGTCAGGGAACAATTCCCTGACCGAAAAAACAAGTAAATTTTTAGAACAACTTCTACATCCATTCGTAATCCACCTGGACTCATATGTACAAGACACCAAACAAACTTTATTGCTATTAGAAAATTTGGTGGTTCCTCCTTATTCCCTTCTTGCCAGTCTGGATGTTGCTTCATTGTACAACAACATCCCACATGACAAAGGACTACAGGCCAC